TCAAATTCAGTTGAAGCCCTCAAAAGACGAGCCTCAACCTCATGCACCTGCTGCTATCAATAAGAATCACCTAACCGCTATCCATAAATTTAGCGAAGTCAGCAGGACAGTGCTTCTCCCAAGAGTTGGATATTTTCGTGGAGTATACTATTTTTTACAGTTTCACTTCCCAATTTGAAGTTAAAGGCACAGTTCACGATCATTTTGGGTAATCTGGATTATGATGAAAATGGAAGACAAGATCGAAAATCGTGCGATGAAGGTGAAGAAAGTGCGTGAATCGGTGTTTCCAAAGTAAAAATATGCTTCGAAAAACCGTTAAAAATAGGGCTGGACGAGAATGAGACCAGAAAAATGAAGAGAAGTGGGGCCTTTGGACGAGCTATGCAATGTGTCTCCTTGCGCATGTGTGGGTCCTGGTGAGAATAACAAACTACGGTAAGTAAAAATGCACTCACTCATTAGCATAAGTAAACAAAAAAACCCTAGTAACAGCAAAAGTAGCTCACCTTTTTCAGCCTCTAGGAGTAGGAAATTGAAAAAAGGGATCGCAGCAAAAAAAAAAAATAACAGCGGAAAAAAGAATGGGAGAAAAACCTCATCTCATCATTCGGCGATCAGCTGATTGTGTGTGGGTCCTAGAACGAATAGTTGCAATCTGTATTGTATCGACACGCGTCTGACGTGATATCGATCAAGGGTCGGAATAGCGGGGCATTCCTGCTCCTCGAATTATCGTTAACTGTGCCTTTGAGCGCACATTTTTGTAATCCAAAATGCCCTTTTCTTTGATTCATTCTATGTTAATTAGTGAGGATTTTTGCTACCTTTCTCGCATGACACCTTTCTGGTACAATGGCAGTCCTTTTGCTTTAAATTGAACCATTCCCGGCATGAGGCGGTTTACAAGTTCAACAAGTATCTATAATATAAACCCATACGTAACAAGTAATGGTGAATATCGCCACCCATAAATTGAGATTTTCAGAGTTTTTACTTGTGTCACTAGCACATACAGCTTCTATGTCTATATAAAGGACAAGGGATAAAGTTTTTGGCGTTAATCAATCCGGTCGAAGGGATGCGCCTCCAATTGACTTCCATTCAGGATCGTGCTGGTTGTTGAATGCGTATATGGCCTTTACAATGACTTGCGGTGTCCAGCCGACGTACAAGTCAGTGCTTTCTATCCTAAAAGACGAGCCTCGTACCGATTAATCGACTAGGACCGATTGAAAGCTCGGTCGGCCTAGGCGGATATCAATATGGGATTCGAACCTGTGACCACGCGTGTGTGAAGTGCTATAATTTCTCTACACCGCCTCCGCCCTAAACTTATGTTATTTAGACAAATTGAACATGCTTTATATTGTAACAGGCAACATAGCCTATGACAGATCGACAAGAAGGCAGAACTCACCAATATTCAAGCGTACCATACTTGCTATAGCTAGCCTGGAAAATCGTAAGGAGGGGTAACAGGTGGCTTAAATCTTTGTAAAGAAGCACTGCTACTTAACATCCAGTTTTTAATAGTTCTATCATTGATTTACTCGTCCCTACGCTTTGTTTATTTGAAGTGGAAATTAGCATGATGCTCTGTGATTATGTCTGAAGAGGAATATGAGCATCTATGAAATAAAGGTTGCACCTTTATTGACAGACTGAAACACAAAAGTTCTGAAATGATCTCATCCTGTTTTATTGAATAAACAATGTTTATTATCGGAAAGAAGAAGTCTTTTCATGCTCCCAGACGATTCTGGTACAAATTAACCTACCCCGGAACGCTTGGGTGGCCTGGCGATCCGGAGTTCGAATCCGTAACACGAGTGTGTGATGTGGGCCACTTGCCACTACACCACTTCCGCCTATGTCTATACAAGTTTCTGTTTGTTTTTAAGAGACATAATGATGAGTGAGGATTACCAAGGCTTGGATAAGCAAACTCAAGTACCTTTTGATTTTATACGGAGATTTTACTCAAACATTACTTCCTTTGCACTGAAACGATTGTTAAAGCGTGCACCATTCATTGGATGGCCTTGCACAAAGGATTTGGCCGCACTTCATGAAAAGGGCTATTTCTTCATTTCACTGCCAATGTGTTTCAACTGGCTCCACTTATTCAGAATGTTGCTCTCTCTGAGTTTATATAATCTTGTTCTTTACGAGAACCTTTTAATTTTTTCTGAAACTTCTGAGGAGGGTTTCAGGTCCTTTGATGCACATTATAAGTTATGAGCTCGAAAAGTAGTCGTTACTAGTTAGAGTAAAACCCGTCCACTTCATGCGGAGAGAATTACAGCAGCTGGGAACTGAGCACTGAGCAGTACTACCGTGTTATAAGAGCTGGATGTTTCACAGAGCTAAGTGAGTAGCAGCTCAGTCACAAAGGACCAATGGTCCATCGACCAGAGTTAGTTCCAACAGTGGTGAAACTCCATTGCCCAAACGTCATGCTGCATTTTGCTCTATGGCAACATGAAAAATGGAAATGCAGCCTTCTGAAATTGTTTTATATTACCGTAACTTCATATATTTCCCATTTGGCCTTGGCATTGCCTATCCTCAGTGGTACAGAGAAGTTATAATTTCATTTTCCCGTCAAAATTACCTTTCATAAATGGTGCATTTCATGAAGAGAGAATTTTTTGGAAACACCAAAAATTCAATTTATGAATTTCCCCATTGAATTGAATTCATTAATGAACGAAATAAGTTTTGATCTATAAAGTTCAAATTGTGTTCCCGTTTCTTATTCTCTCTAGGATGTACTTCCAGCCTTTGTTCCCGTTCCTTTAGTCGTGGGAGAACAGCCAAATCTATTCTTACTATTATGTACTAGTTAAGTCACTTATTTGGCTTCATCTTTCCTTGATCAGCTCCCACTTCTTTTGTCATGCATTGCACTTAGGAGTAAGTTTTTGTGGTTTAGTATGGTAGCGTAACTTTGACTCGCCTTTGCGCTTTATATTCTACAAAAGTTCATTCAAAGTTATTTGAATACAGTAAGTTACTTATTCAATATTTAGTTAACTGATCCTGTTTTGTTGCTTTTGTTTCATTTGCCTTCGAACTCTTTTTGCCTGCTATTTCTGCCGGAATTAGTGGTACGTCTTTCAGACTTGAGCATTTAAAAAGTGCATTTTCAGCTGAAATTAGCGAAAATCTCTAATGTGAAGGATATTGTTGTAGTCGCGATATGGAATTAAACTAAATAATTCTCAAACATTGTACATCCAGACAAAAAACAATTCAATTTTTTCATTCTCACGAGCCCTGTAGAGGTTGCATTGTTACTTGTGGCCGTAGAACTTGTAGGGAAACTGAGCTTATGAGTGGTATCTTGAGTGGAATTTATGCCCATTTAATTTCTACCCTACTCGGTTTTTTAGTAACTTTTGGGCATTAACTCTAGCATTACTTCGAAGCGTTAACGAGTTTTTCAGTCAAAAAGGAGCTCGAAGAAAGCACATGGACAATGTGGGTGTGGCTTCTACCAAGTATTTTCCAATGAAGTCACTCCCACATCGCTCGGATCCCCCCAGTTCTTTTCTGCTTGATCCTTCTGCTTATGACCATTCTTCCTTGCCAGACGGAACCTTTTTCTTTTGATAAACCATTGGTTTCAATGGTCCGGGTGGTTTGCTCACGCATGGCCTTACTTGCCCTCTCCGCAGGTATAATCCACCCGAATTCCCAGCAAGTGCATACGACCTCCAGAACTGGTTATGACCTTAAATGTAACCAATGTAGCTGAGTTTGGCAACTGCTATACCAAGATGACTTGAGCCTTTTTCCTGAATTTCCTAAATCTCCGTGGCACTTGTGCAAATGCTTCCGCTCAAACCTTTTCCTCCGTAATATGGCGTAGCATAGACATCAAATTTTCCAAACCAAAGAATAAATAATTTGACCAATAAATAGCTTGAGATAACTAAACAGAAGGAGCCGTTTTCTTCGAATACCTCATGAAAAATTGGACAACCAAAATAGTAAGTAAGCGCTGCTGAACTTCCAAATACCAACATGGCATGAGCTTCACCAAGAATTCTACTTACTGAGTAGTATAGATCTAACGTTAACCAAATCCTTTAATGTATGGAAGAAAGCTAAATGTAAGTCGAAAGTAAGCGCCAAGGTGGTATGGGCTTCAGATTACTTTGGTGAACCTCATTCGATCTGGAGCCTTTGTTTCTCAAGTAACGGTGAAGGTGATTTGTTCCTGTATCCAAATCGCTCAGAACGTTCTCGTTACTGGTAATTACTCTAGCTCAACTTTTCTACTCCGACAACTAAAGTCTGTTTTCATCATAACTCAATTACTTAGTAAAGAAGCAGGCACATAGATGAAGTTCTATCTGTAGAGAGCTTTTTCATCCCAGTGACACGGCCATTTCTACTTGCTCCCTATCCCACCCCGAAGAGGATGGCTCATAGAGGGGGCACATGAGATCTGGGTGTTTGGCTTCTATTTATTTGATATCATCCAAAGAATCCCTCCCATATGACTCCATTCCATCTAGTTCCTTGTTGTTGAATCGCTTTGTACGTCATTCTAACTTCTCCAGCTCACACGATAAATTACTGCCGTGAGAATATGCATATAAGAATTGTTTATTTACCAACTATACATGAGTATTGTGGGAGTAATGATGTAACCTTAATGATATACCGGCATCACGAATAAACATAGCGGAGGTTTTCATTAAGAAAATAATCATAGTGCTGGAGGTAAGAAAATATCCTTTGTTCTCACTGAATGGTATGGATGATCGCTCATGAGATGCTACCTTTTAGAAAAATCATTTTACAGATTCTAACATGAATATTATTGATAAAAGGACAGAGTTGTTATTGAAGAAATACTGGAAATTCAGGGGAAAATTTTCTTGGAGTGTAGTAAATAAAAAAATATAACTAAAGAATCACATTACAAGCGATCTTCCAATTCATAATGATAATAATCAGATAAATAAAATGGTAATGTCATCAACTCAGAAGAAGAATCTCAAAACACTGAAACCAAGTTCTTTCAACTTTTCAGCAACCTGCTTGGGTAGAGGAGGCGATCGTAGGATCACCGTATCTTCAGAACTCGTTGACTCGGTGGGTTCCTCAGATGATTCTGCAGCTGGTACTTCTGTAGGAACATACTCGTCCTGGGGAGCATCAGTGGCTTTGGATGAGCTGTTCGACTCAGTGGTGGTGGTGGTTGAGGGCCCAGTACTGCTAGAAACAGAAGGATCGTCACTGTCTACAAACAGAGCTGTAGCCTCCTCCACCGCTCCTTTCGGAGTGCTGCTACGATCATCTGTTGGGGTGGACCCTGTGATTTCCTCAATGACGCCAATGGGCTTGTTGCCTGAGCCCTCTTCTTCAGGGTTCATTGTCGTTGTAGAAGACTTCCCATTTTCTTCCTCAGGAGCAACGGAAGACGAGGAACCTTCGGTCTCGTTAATGTCTTCCTCAACAGCGGCCTTCAAAAATGGCCCAATCAAACCTGTTGGATCACCTTCCCCTGTGACCTCTACGCCATGACTCATAAACGGTCCACTCTCATCAAACCCTTCCCCCTCGAAATACCTGATCGATGATGTTCCTTTTGTACTGGACCCACGGCTTGGTTTAGTGGTGGCTGAGAAGGGTGGAAATACTCCTTTGACGAAGAATTTCTCGTCGGGACCACCTTCCCAAATTTGAGGCCCTGTCGGATACTCGTCCGGTGGTTGAGTGGTTGGCTCTGGGGGAGCTCGTGTGACTTCTCCGCTCATGGGTGGTCTGGCATAGGAACTACCAGCGCGAGATAAGTCGGGTTTGATAGCGTAACTTGATGAATGATGAGAGTAATGATTACCAAATTGTGAGAAGGGGTACATGAAGCTGTAGTAACTGTTATAGCCTTCTAGAGACCATGAAGGGGGTGCATGATGAGGGATTATTGCTCGTTGTGTGTAATAACTGTGGTAGTCCGCTTGAGGATAGTAGCCTTCGTAACTTTCTCGGTATCCGTATGGTTGCTGATATGATCCTTGATCGAAAGACCATTGCGTCGGTGAACCGTATTGTCTCTTGACCCTGAAATGTGTAAACTTCATCAAGGCTGTCCAAAACACGTCATCAAATCAAAGATCAGCCATATGAAATGAAAATGAAATGGGAAAAAACTAGGAGCTGATCAGTGACCTGGAAAAGGCGTCGGTGCTTAGTAGTAGGCCGAACAGTAACGGAAGAACAGCCATGGCTGTCCACGGCATGCTGGAGTGGGAGGGTGGATTTAACGTCGTCGTCGCCGATAGACCCGAGCAGCGTAACCAGTTACAGTCCAGGGACGTTGGACGAAGGCTGACCCATTTAAGGGCATGAGTCATCTTGATGAACAGCCAGCAGATAATCCGATAGCCCCATGCTGTTCAAATCGAGAAATGTTGAGCGATCGGGTTAGCTTTGCAGACGAGAAAAACACGATTACGCCACCTTTTACACTATGAACGTTACAAGTTTTTTGGAATAAAAGTAGTAAGTTGTTACTGTAAACGGGCACTGTTTTGATATTTGACCCCATTAGTTACTTAATGGCCCGTACAGTTCTCGTTTACATAAATGGTGGATTCCTACCGGCCTTCTAGTATCACTACACAAGTTTTCTACTTTCACGATCCGCTATGCAGTAAATAAATGGGTATTTCGAATACATAATTAGGTGCTCCACTTCAGAATTAGATTTTTAGGACTCACTTTAGCCATACATACAGGATAAACAAAACTCTTGAAGACTAATGAGGTCAAGGGTACTCCAACAGTATACTAAGAAGCTAGCTATACTTATTTCATGGAATTTACTTAAAAGAAATATATTAGGTTTTCCAGCCACGATATCTATAGTATATGCGGTGAGCATATTTTGAAATAATTTTTTTTTGAATAATCCCTTTATAGCGATATTGAAATTCTGCACAGCCTGTTGTGAGTTATAATATTACTTGTAAACTGATATGTTTTCTTTGAGACTGGTAGAGTGTACAGGTACTGCTGCTCAGGAAATTTTCTCCGACATTGTGGAGTCCTCCCCGCGCCTGATGTATAAAGAAGATCGTTTTCAGCCCGCAAGCGACATTTTTTCATTTTGTTCTATCTGTTGACCGAGTGGTGATGGAAGTGCAGGTGGGCTGGCGAAAAGAATTGCGTCAGAAATGTATGGTAGTATATGTAGCTGCAGGTTCCAGTTAAAATGATTTTAATAGGTTTTTGCAAGGTCTCCACAGGGTGTGGTGCAGTAGGATCGAACTTGTCGCGTCGCGGCCAGAAGGACGCCGCGCGCGAAGGAATGCAGCAGAATGCAGCAGCAGGTAGAAAACGCAGAAACAAAAGAGTTAAAAGCTAAATCTTGCCTAAAATAATGATCGCATATCAATGGAACTGTAATAAGAACGCTAGAGCTATAATAACGGCGAAGCGAATGGTCCGCGACAGCCGCGTGCGGCGAATCGATTACACAAAACCGACCCTACTGCTCGTCTCCCCAATCCACCTTGTTATCGGTGCTCCGAAAAACCTCGAAGCATTAGAAATGAAAGAGTAACTTGCAGCATAAAACAAATGCGGTGAATTCGCTCACCAAATATGCTCAGTTTATCATTAACCGATTTTTCGGAGTTCAACCAATGGTATCCAGCCATTTTCTCTTGGCTCAGAATTGGTCCCTCTTCTTGAGAAAAACTTAGAAATTCAAACCCTCAGCCTTCAATGGTTAACATAGTGCTGTTGAATTTAAGCTCGACTGGCTCGAGAAATTTTTAGGAATTGTTTATGTTGTGACAAGAGGACGGCATGAGGATATTTCCATTAGGATGACATGATGTGGAATACGGAGCTTTACTGCCACAACAGGCCTACACAGGCCCAATATTCGGTCAAGCAGGGAATCAATTACTTTCCCTTAAGGGTAAAATTCAAAACGGCATCGATTTGCTTTAACAGCACGTTGGACATTATGAGGATATACCTTGTACTAAATTCAGCTGTGTTTCAGTTAATATAACTTCGAGATCTCTAACTAACATCTTTTAACAACTCAGAAAATGTTAAGTAAACTAGTCAAAAAGGTCTGAGGTTTTCCACCAAAATTAAAAAACTGGATGAAAACTACATGGAAACTTTTGAAATAAGTGAAGAGCCCTTTGAAAAAATGGAATCGGGTGGGGCTTGAAAGAGTGAATCAATAAACGATTGAATGGTTGAGTGACTGAATGAATGAATCAACCGAGCAATCAATCAATCAGTCAATAAACTGAATTTGACTGAATCGTTCAGACTGGCATTGCATACTTCTAACGATAGGTGACTGTTGAAGCTCTGAGGTCATTTCCAAAACATTGTCTTTCACCATGATCGCTTGGGAGCGAATGTTAAGTTCCCAGATGAAGTATGAATCATCTGATATCATATGTTTTGGACGCATTATCATTCTCATCTTCCTCCGTCTCTTTCCCCGTGGTCTCTCAAAACTCTCGGGGAGAACAATTACGCCCACGCCATTTAGGCGAACTCGACAACCCGCGACCTGTATATAAGTGGACGTCTACTCCGCTTCAACAACGTCGCCATGAAGATCTTCTGTATTCTGCTTTGTATCGGGGTTGCGTCGTCGTTGAGGTGAGTATTCAATACACTTTATATCTTTTCAAAAGGTCCTGCACAAAGTATCTTGTATGTCTTCAATGGGATAAGAAAAATTACTATACACTTCGTCGTACTGTCTTTCGAAGTAACCACCGAGACCACCCAGTAAAGCCTAGTGATATACAGTAATGCCGAGCTTTTGACAGTACCGTTACCGTTACTTAAACGTTCGTTACTGCACTATAGGTCAATAAGATATAACACTATTACCTAAAAAATGGTACAGTACTAACTCGGTCTGACTTGTAAACTGCCTTAACCTAGTTGAGAAGCTGTACTACAAATAATACTACAATGATAGAAATATTTGTACCGGAAACTTTGAGTTCTATTTGAATACTGACAAAGATCAATTCAGATTCCGACGCGGAGGCTATGCTCGGCCTCCAATGATTCCGCCACCCATGGAGGAAATTGCGCCACCTCCACCACCGCCACCACCACCACCACCACCACCTCCAATGGAGCCACAATTCCCTAGCGGTGGTGGCTACGGACGTCCAAGTTTTCCACAACAATTCCCATCTTATGGAGGAGGGGGCGGTTTTGAACCACCGTCAAGCAGCTATGATCGTCCAATTGGCGGATACGGTAGACCCAGTTATGGCGGCTTGGGAGGATTCGGAATGTGATGTGGTCAGAAGTGACGCGCATTGACTTCGTATTCTGCCACGGGTAATCAGTGATTCCGATTTGGTCTCGTATAAACACATCGAAGCTGCTATAGTTAAGTCTTTATTTGTAAACGTGAATTGTAAAACTTTTCTTGTAGTTAGTTTTACAATATGTAAGAAACACCCGGTATTTCAACAAAATTTATTGCTAAAGAAATTCAATACACAGACTTACTATTCGCACCCAAGGATAATATAGTAATTTCTATACCTACACTGAATCTCAAGGTTGGCTAGTTATGGACAAAACTTCGACCTCGGACGGGACTTGAAATTGCACTTGTACGTGCTATCCGGGCACCGTGCTCTGATATCCGTTGATCTCGCCAAACGCAAATAACAACAATAAACAAATTATTAAGTCAGAACAGGCTTACAGTAGTTATCTCCGACCCTAAGGCTTTTCTCATTATTGGCTTGTCATTCCATCAAACACCGAATGTTTCAGTGGACACTATAACGTCCCCAGTCTATCTCACTGCAAAAAAGGGTGACCATCTATTCCTCTGAGTTTGAGAAGCACGTAGCATAGCCTTTTGTTCTTGTAAGGCTTTTAGATGAGCTCTGGTTTTCGAGCTGATAGACTGGCCCAGCGTTTGTTCCAAACTCCTTATAGAAATCAGTTCTCATTCAACCAGTTACCATTCGAATCAGATTTCGAGATCGACCTCCCTGATCTTTGATTCCTTGGCAACTGGTGAGGTGTTCGAACGCTACCAGTGTTCATAAACCGAAATACTTTCTACGGGTCACGTGCACATGGGAACACTGAGCGCTCCACCCTCCACTGTTACCTGACCTTAGTACCTTCTCGTGATTTTTCGAGTCTCTCATGGGTTTGAGTCGTGAGAAGCCCTGAGATTCATGAAAGGGTACTTCAGTGACCAACTTAGAGACTCTACGCTCACGTATATGGGAACTCTAAACGTTCCTCTTTTCATTGCTCTAGCAACCATTGAAGCAACTTCTTATGATTCTCTCAGTCAAGCCCAAGAAATCATGAGAATTTACTTCAATAGAGTCAGTGCTTGTTTGATGCTCGCACGATTTCACCTCTAGACGCTTCTACTGAGGAGGGAAGGGTGGAGGCGAACTTCTACGGTCACTTACGAGGCTTTTAAAGTTTTCACGTTTTGAGAAACTTCAAATGCTTTGCTCCTATGACCCTATCGTAACAACGTTTAGTGAGTCCCATGTTACTGGCAACACGGTCCCAGAACCCATAAGCGTCTGAGAATTCATGCGCTCCAAGCGGTTACAATTGTGAAACTTTGCTGGCTGAACTCTCCTTCCACCTTTTGGAATGATTAGTCTCATGCAATGGAGGATACGATAATTAAAAATGAAAGCTCGAACTGGAATCCTGCTTATGCTCCACCCACTTCGCTTTCATTCAGAATTACCGTTGAATGAAGCTACAGTTGAACATAGCTGGGATTTTTCCGCCTTTTTATACCACCCATCTGAAATTACCGTTTTTCGCATTTACTCTTCCTCACCCCCTCCTCCCTTTCAAAGGTTTCATGAAGAAGAGTTTTGAAGCGACTGACTGTGGGCTTCTTTCCCACTTACAAAAAACATACACATGAAATACTGATAAACTACCATGCTGTACTGTGAACTTCTTGATAGCCGAAACTGCATGATTCAGATGAAGCATCATTGAGAACACAGTTTATGAAACCTTTAGAGTGAACCGTGAACCGGCTGCCTAACTATGTAGTAATTCTTTGAAAGATCTATATAAGCACTAAGAAGAAATAGAAGATCCATAAATTACAGAATTGGCTAACATTGGAAATTAAAAAGGTCTAGGACTTGAAGAAGGTCATGAGAGAGGACGCTGCCTCTAATTGGCCCCCGACCTTAGCCAACCAATGGAAAGCTTCCCAAGCTTGTGCGAACTCATCTCATAGCCCGAAGACTGAATTTGATGCTCACAAACATAAAAGGCACAATCATATAGAAGAAGGAATTGGCGGTGGAATGCTGGGTTTTCTAGAGAAGGAAGGCAGACAGGAGAGAGAAGGATGATTTGTTCTTAACTAATATAGCATTGTTTGATCACATTCTCGGAGAGGCTGCTGGAACGGCTTCTCAGAGAAGAGTGAAGTGAAACATCTTCGAAGTGATGTCATCCAGAGATTTCAGGTAGGCTCGCCAAACGTTGCGATGGTGATTGTCGAACTCGTGACTTAGCATTGAGTTGATCTCGTCTCTGAAAAATTCGAGCAAATTTCTAACGTCCTTAAGTCAAACGCCTTGTGACACACATTTCCAAACACTAAGCCCAGAATTGTAGCTAAGAATTAACTAGGTGAAAAATTATCAAAAAAATAAATAAAATAGAAAATTGGATAACTTAACAGCACCTTGTGAACCACCTTACATCGACAATCACATCAGAGGCAATTTCAACACCGCCCACATTAGTATTTCTGACGTTTTTCATCAGGCACACGAAAAAGAAGGCGCACGAGCCGGCATATTTCGTGCGAAGTTTCTGTCTGGAATATTGGTCAGGAGTCATTCAAAATCTTAAGATTATTTACTGAAGAAACTGAGTAGGCACTTCAAGTGTGAGGTGTGGTACCTTATCCCCAAAAATCGCATCGCGTTTACCGTACCCGACCGCGAGCAATAGAGGGAAAGGTTTGAAATGTTAATGTCAGGATACGGCATCCGCCACGTAACTACTGCTGCTCGCCGAATGAATACGGGAATAGGAAGTGTGCTCCCGTACTGTTCCTTATTTTGAAGTTGTTATTTGCAAGTCAATCGTACATATCTCGTAGAGCCGGAAAAAGTCTGAATACAACTGCATATTGGGCGAATGAGATTATTACGGATATGTATGCATTATCCTTCACCACCCGCCCTCACCCTTCTCTTCTCCCGATTGATTGAGTAAGCATGAAAAAGGAGGCCTGAGTGAACGAGTGAGCATAAAAAATAAGAAACTTGAAAGAGCAAACCCCAGAGAGATGATGGCGTCGCCTTCAGCGACAACTCCAGTTTTTTCCTTAACCTTCCTTTCAGCTGTCATAAGCAAATTCTCACAGTGCTTGGGCGGACCACCGGGAAACCTCCACAGAAGTTGGCTGAAACAATTTCCGCAAACAAATTAAATCGTACATGCTTGGAATTGAAGTTGTTCCATGAATGTCACTTGCAAAAGTGGTCGAAAAAGAAAAAACCAATCGCTAAGAATCGTACAAAAGTGCCAGTCTTGATGACAACCTATAGCTGACAAATCCACAAGGATATCATTTGGCTGCATTCAGGGTTTGCGCTGGCCACGTTGAAGCATGTGAGCGATGGATCGATACCGGTAAAATGGTCGCAAAAGCGATGGGGCGTGGCCACGCAAATGCGGGTCGTTTGTGAGCTGATGCAAACCATAAATACAGCCAGTTTCTTAAGCTCAACTACTGACATTAAGACTACGAAATTAGGAATAGATAAAATTGTAATCATACCGGCGCTGCTCGCGAACCATAAGGACACGACCTCTTCCGTCGAGGACCAACCCAGAAACAAAATAGTGGCAGAACGTTGTCCTACAAAGGGGAGTAGGAGGCTCAAGGCTTTTCTCTCCGTGATACAGAACATTGAGCATTAAGTCCTCCGATTTCGCGGCAAAAACCTAGTTGAAACTTAGACAACCAATCATAACAATCGTTACACTTCCTACGTCGGCATGTAAAACACAATGCACCGTATTTGCCTGCACAAAAGGTATGATTCCTCACATATCAAGGTAACTACAATGATTTAGAAACTGTTACTTTACAATAAATAACTACTTACGGTGGCAAACGCGGTGGCTTATCACTCAACCAGCAAGTCATCGCCATTTCACCCTTCGCCGCATGAGCAAAGTCGAACCCAAGTTTTGCCAGATGAGGAACAACATGACTATCCTCAAACAAACATCAACTGTTCTCTGTTTCAAAACAACAGAAATGAATGAAAACAGCAAGCAACTACATTGATGATTGACACATGATCTACCCTTCCAGGGAAACTATCTTCACACATGTACATCCAACCCATTACAAACCATTAAAAAGGTTTTGATCGATTTCAAAAACAATCAACTTTTTTCACCACGGCACTACTTAATAAACATTCATGGACAAATGAATACCTTCTATTTACGTCCCACATAAACACCAAAGACAGACACCAATCACTAGATATTGAATTCCCATCTTGAGATCATCCTCCAATCAACCATTAAATTCTCTCATCTTGATTTCATTTCTGTTGTTCTTAAAATTTTAGTTTTGCTTCTGCCTCGAGGTTGTTAGGTGTAAATTTTAATTCTGGCCAACCTTTCGAAAGTCTCTTCGTTATCAAAGGCCTGAAAACGATTCGAAGCTTGCTGATCGCACACTACCCCACCAAGCGCCTCCTCCGCTCCAGCGTTTATGACGTTCTATAAGGAATGCACGAAAAATCTCAAAATTTAAAAAATAAGCTCACCTCACTTCCACTGCGAAGTGTAGCACTACGCTACACGGTTAGTACACTAGTAGCGAATGATCTTACTTCGCTGCCCTTATGCAATAATATTATTATTGCGGATCAGCACGTTCGCGGATTATGGAACTACAACGTCCAAAATGAACGAGCCCTACAAGCGCTATCTGAAACGTTGGAATGGATGAGTGTTTCCGTATAATGAATGATCAGTCACTGTACATCAGGCTCACACGAGAGATACCACAAGGTGGTTGGTCCCCCTATCTCAGCACTCAAATCGAAGTGTCTAGCGGTAGGTATCGAAAAAGAAGCCGAAGAATATTTTGATTAACGCTACGTCTGCGCATCCGTCTGTTGTTCAGGAATCAAGACGATTAGCTCCAGGAATAGCTTCGAATGGCTATAAGGTACCATATTGTAACACAGGAAGATTTCACATTGACGAGAGAAACACCTCGCGCCAAAACAAACTTCCTCTATGTTTACCGTTCATCTATGACAAGGTATCTGCTGCAATTCAACGATGTATTGTTCGAGTACAGTTGAGCGATGATGTTATTCTGCGCGTCTGTAGGCGTAATTTATCAGATTCAATGTGAGGCATGTAATGCAAGCTACAAAGGAGAACTGGAGGAGTTTTCCCAGTACGAATCGAAGAGTAGTCGCTGGTAAACAACGCAGTAATGTGTTAACTCCGTTAGGGAAGCACAGAGTGGAACAGCATGGTGGTCATGATTTCAACATCATGTGAACGACATTGGCTGATGAGACGGAAATATCGTCGTGGAAAGCATTGGAAGCGTTCCTGATTTTCGCTAGAAATCCAGCAAGTACCATAATCCGCGAACGTGCTGATCCGCAATAACAATATTATTGCATAAGGACAGCGAAGTAAGATCATTCGCCACTAATGTACTGACCGTGCAGCGTAGTGCTACACTTCGCAGTGGGAGTGAGGTGAGCTTATTTTTTTTATTTTGAGCATTTTTCGTGCATTCCTGATAGAGCGTCAGAAACGCTAGAGCGGAGGAGGCGCCTGGTGGGGTAGTGTGCAATCAGCAAGTTTCGAACCGTTTTCAGGCCTTTGAAAACGACGAGACTGTCGAAACGTTGACCAGATTAAAAATTTCCGCCTAACAACCTCGAGGCAGAGGCAAAATTAACAATTTCAAGTCATTGGACAGTTTTTCTGAAAAGATGCAGAGTTGCGCCTCTGTAAAGAGATCATGAGGAAAAAAGTCCGAAAGAAAGGAAGCTAAAAGAAAATGAGCAGTGTATGAAACCGAAGTATACCAAGTAATATAAGAGGATCCAATGTAGTTAAAGGTAGTAAAATTGTATGGAACAAAGGATTTTTTGGTAATTTCTCACGACGTGGTGGAATAAGTTTCTCACTAGCGCTGAGAGGATCGTATGAATAAAAACTAAATTAATACATCGGAGAACACGGAAACATTGGAGTAACTGTTACAAATATCTTAATTCAGTATGTCAGAAAAGAGTGCTGAGACAATACGGATTGCAAATTTTCTTTTTAGGACCCACACACAATCAGCTGTGTCGCCGAGTGATGAGACGAGTTTTTTCTGCCATTCTTTTTTCCTCTGCTATTCTTCTTGCTGCTGCGATTCCTTATTTTATTTCCTGCTCCTAGATGCTAAAATAGGTGAGCTACTTCCGCTGTTACTAGGGTTTCTTGTTAACTTATGCTTATAAGTGAATAAATTTTTGTCACCGTAGTCTTTTATTCGCACCAGGACCCACACGTACGCAGTAAGACACATTGTATAGCTCGTCCAAACGCTCACTCTTCTTCATTTTCTGAGCTCATTCTCGTCCAGCCCCCTGATTAACGGTTTTTCGAAGCCTTTTTCAGTCTGGAAACACTGATTCACGCAGTTTCTCCATCTTCTCGCACTATCTTCGATCTTGTCGTTCATTTTTCATCATAATCTGGACTACTTGAAATTATCGTAAACTAAGTCTTTAAGGAACCGAAAACACATTATATGGGACCAGTTGGCCTGCGCACGATACCGTGCGCCCCCAATAGCTTCTGATAAATAAACTTCCTTGGAAGAATCTGAAGCGTGATCGTTTCAGCAGCATAGTGTTCTGTGCTTTCCCGCGAAAATAGAGAGAACTGTTAGAAGCCAAGTAACACCGTCATAAGCGGCAAGCGCACATATTACCAAATTTTACATTCGTTCTTGCACTCATATATTGACTAAGACATTTAAAAAAACAAGAAAGGGCCCTGAAATCATTCACTTTCTTGTTTGCCCCCTATCACTGTGGAATCCTCTACTCCGCCGAAGATGGAATGGGAATTCTTTCACACTTTTCCCATTTATCCGCCCGTCGAAGTAGGCTTTTATTAGCGATCGACGATCTCGTTGGCCAATACACTGTTTGATGATATTTTACGCAAAATCATAATAACCTAAAGAGCAGAGGTTCTACACTAATCTTCAATTCCAAAGACGTAGGTGTTTTGCACATTCACTTGGCTGAACAATGGAGCTCGCTACGGATGGTTACATAGAATTTGTATAAGACAGTCGATCGCCCAAATTCTGCTGGGCTCTACTCCTTCATATTTATGTTTGAATGCCTAACTAAGACTATCACACTTCTCTCCCCCTCTCCTTCTTGAAAAAAATGAGTAGACAGCAACGTCACTACATTCAGCAGTACAAAACTGCACTGGTCAGAATAGTTGCCACTACGGCTCATCACGTTTACAGCTTCAATCGCAATACATTTTCCAACTTTCTTCGACTTGGAACACTGTACGGCCAAAGAAAACATTATTGTGATTGAGCGGTCATCTACACAATAGATTGACATAATATATCGGAGTGTGGGCCCCCATTCCCCCCAACTCGGGATACTATACCGAAGGCTAGGCATGTGAAGGGAGCCAAGTTGTGAATTAACGCCACATAACCTGGAAAGGTCTTCAAACGGGGTTGTCGATTTCAGATTCCCCGCTTTCCCCTTTGCCCTCTCTCTCCATTTCATCCGCCATTAGTCTCCCTGCCAGCTGCATCTCTATCAAATTTGAAAGCTTCAGGTCCTAAAGTCCATATTAACGATTTTCGCGCAAACCCTTTCCCCAGCGAGCGGAGTCTACACATGCTACCTAATATTAGCGCGCCCAGAATGCCACCTACCTCTCTACCAAAGTTCAACGCTTCAGGTGCAAACTGATCCAAATTGACAGTTTCGCGCACGCTCCGCCCCCAGTGGGGGTAGTACACACCTGTCATGCCATCGTTTTTGCCGCTCAAACCCCATTGAACTTTGAACACTCTAGCACCAGGAGAACAAGTTATAGGTTATCGGCGGGCCAAACTTTTTGCGGACGCCCGCCCCTAGTGGGCGGAGCTCAGCTTGAGCCACGTGTTCTCAGGCAGTTCGGCCCTTTCCCCACTTGTTCCAACCTGGCCTGGGCTGTTCCAGTTCGATTTTCAGAAGGCGCCACAGAAAATGGCTACAAACGGACAATCATACAAACAGAAAAACAGACAGATAAACAGACTTCGTGGCTTACTTGTAGTGAGGATAGTAGAAGTAGGACATGACAACAATATTCTCAATTTTTAGCTGATATGGTACTGTGCTCAAAGATTTTTAGAAATTAAAGAAACTTTAGAAACTTGCCAAACTAATTATACACAACCAACCAGAGAGATGGCTTTGAAATCAGTAGATTTTACCACCACAAACCACGCTACTACTTTTTCGAAATGCACGTTTACTGAAAGACAATACATATCTATCGAAAGGAACTAGTAAATTTTTAGTAAAAATAAAGTTTTATAGGTTCAAAATCTCTGTATTGTTGCTTTCGGACTTTTGCGACAGATTATAATATTCTTGTGCCATATAAACCGCACTGCGACTTGTGACTCAGTAGCATTATAACGTGATCTTCCTTATCACAAGTATAAGGGAGACAGCCAATAGTTCTCACTCGTTACTGACAGTCGCTTGTGGCGACAGCGGTTTTTATATCCGCTTAATCGGGTGGAACCTTGGTTAGTTATGCTTCGAATTATGGGTTTTGAATTCGCCGTAACATTCGCCAGGTGGTAATGCGCTTTTTGGATACTTTACAAATAGTCTCGAGTTGCTTTAGGCCTCTGAAGAAGACGAAAGCGTCGAAACGTTAGGCCGTTAGTTAATAAACTGTTCCACCTAACAACCTCGCACGACACAAGAATATTATGGTCATAAAAAACTATGCCGAGGTTAAAGCAAGAGAGTAGTTGGAGACTGTTTGCGACAGAGCCTACACAACCGAGATGAGACCGACTGCATTCTAAGGCGGCGCAGGTGTGGGAAATAACTACCGCCAACGACAACCATATAAATAGTCACGATTAAGAGTTTACTCGATTCCTACAAGAGGCCAAGCATCACCTGCGAGCTGATATACACCTTTGCAGCATTCAGCTTCCGTTCTTTCCAGGCGTTGAAGGTTTCGATAATTTCCGTTGCGAACCGACTATCTACCACCATTTCACGAGGCAGAAAACTTGTAGTCATCACAGCATCATCATACTCTTCATTTACTGTATAAGGCAGAACCATCTTGAAGTTTCTGAAATGAGAGAGAAAAGTTTACAGTGATGTTGGATAAAAAGCGCTAAACTCACACACGACACAGCCCAAATGGGGATGAAGCATAATGCTGAACTTACTTACCCATACTACTATCTATACTCATTCTTTTCTGGGCGTTAATTCTTGGCCCTTCAGGTTTAAGTGGTTATTATGTTGTGCTTGTTAAGAAATCACGGTAACGAAGTACACTGGTGTGTAAAACTTAGGGACGAAAGCAATTTTCGATTACTGTCCCTCTGCCAGACGACAGAACTCGTTGAAATTACCTTACCAATAGAGGATCATTACGGTATTGCACAGGAAGCAACTGACTGCAATTCGTAGTAGGACGAGCAAATAAGGCATTTTTATTGAAAGGCACCGATTACTCATAGCTCCTTACAACTTTTCCTAGCACTTCAAAAAAATACCGTAATGATCCTCTATTGATACGGTATAATCTTCGTCG